AGTCGAAACGACACCGTACCGGAATCATCATAGAAGCGTTTGAGAGCTCGAGGAGAGCCTCCGATAGGGTTGCTCCCACGGAGCAAAACGCCGTCAATGTCGAACGCTACGCCGAATGAAGCTCTGCATCAAGAGATTATGGATTTTCATAAAACTATAGCAAAAACACATAAGAGATAGAGATAAATTAAGTACGGATTTGAAGAGGAGTGAAGATGACGATAGAAGAGAGGCGAAGATAGTGAAGGAGTAGCTGTGCTTCGGATCTGCGAAGAAGAGAGCTTTCTTCTTAAAATCTGAAGAATTTTCATCTCCTCTTTTTGATTGTGTTATGTTATCCCCTTTGTCCTGAATCTTTTCAACAATAAAACCCGATTGGTTTATTGGACTGTATTTCACTTTCTCAAACTTTAGTGGTTTCCGCAGAATTTTATAACTTTAAAAAAAAAATTATCAAAAATTAAAAAAAAAAAAGTGTTTTGCAATGCGTAGTGATTGAACCTTATATTAAGCCATGAAATTTTATTTTTTTTTACTTTAACAATTACCTATAGTATTAAAGTCAATTACAAATTATAAATTTATTAGAGAAATTCATTTTTTTCGTGAGAGTACAAGTAGAACAAACTTGTATTAAAAGAGATTTAATTTTTATATTTTATCATGTATTTTTTAGTTTTTGACTTAATAAATAATACATTTATATCGTAAATAAAAAAATTACAACGAGTATCATATGAAAACCCATTGTTTCAAAATGATTATGTTGCCGAACTTCAAAACATTATAGCAAAGTCTCTAAATTTGATCCATCACAAAGAAAAGATAGAAGGTTGTGTTTTATATGATAGAACTTGTTTTACCAATTTTCATTAAGAAATTATTATTAACACCGAAAAACTTCATATATTACAGTAAAAGCAGGATAAACAATCAAATTTACAAGAGCCTATTGAAAATTCAAGTTACTTAATTGCTAACTCCCCTCACTTCAATTATCAGTTCATATAATGAACTTTAACAATACTCCAATTAACTGAAGCAAAAGAGGAGAAACAGAAAACTGTAAACAGGCTTAGTATTACACATAGAAATTGAAAAGGAAACAAATCGAATCATCATAGCCTTGAGACGAAATCGAAACGAATAATCCAAGCGAAGACACCTCCACCTCCAATCTTAGCTCGGATTAAAATCACATCACAGGGTAAATATAAAACCACTTCTGATCCGACAGATTCAAACAAGTATTTTCAAGGGAAGCCAGTGAAGAAAACAGGGGAACATAAAATTCCCACATCCAACTGAGAATTTGGTCAGCGCATCTCTGTGATTTCACCTATCAGAATCGTACCCACTAGGGGTTGCTGTTGATGGTGTCGAGGACCCGGACCGTCCCCTTTCTGATCGACTCCTCATGGAAGCCAATCCAACAGCTGATATCACCATAGATTTCAAAATATTCTTTGTGATTTGTCCCCTTCTTGGAGGAAACCATAGGTTCTGGTTTGACTTGATAGCTGATTTTTCCATAGACATGTTTTTTTGTTGGTTTTGATCAATTGTCAAGAAAAATAAAGAGGATTTTGTGTTTGAACAGGACAGAGTAAAACGGAGCTTTTTGAATATGTATTAGAGATTCACTAAATGAAGAGGCTGGTGATTTATGTAAAGGAGAGCAAGGACACCTTTATAACAGTTCAAAAAAGGACCAAATTGCAAAATTCCAGTTACTTGGCTCACAAGGCTCATGTGGAGTGGATATTCAAGAAATTCACATCTGGCGTTTTGGAGTGCTTACGTGGACTCTGAAATGGTCCACTCCAACTAATGTACAAAAGTTGACACCTGTAGTTTTTTTACTTTTCTCATTTCAATTTATTTGATATTGTTTCACTCAAAACGCTCACTAACCATTTACTCTGTACAACAACAAAATCATTTCATTAAATGAAAGTGAATTTCAAAATTAAATTATTTTTAATTATGAAAAAAGTCATTTCTCAGGAGATGGACCAAAAAAAAAAAGTGTAAGCAACAGAGAGGGTATGGTACTAATTTTGAAAAGGTTCATTAGGTTGGAAAAAAGAAGAAAGGTTCATAGATATGAAAACATTCATTGTCGAACTGAGAAAATAAATTGAAAAGGTTCATATAGTTGAAAGGTTCACATTTGAAATCCATATGTTAAATTGGTGACAAAACAGCAGTTCATAGAGTTGAAAAATCATATTGATAAATTGAGGTTCAAAAGGTTCAAATGGTTCATTGAATTGGAAGGTTCAAAACTTGAAATGGTTCCTTTAACAAGTCAATAAAGATCTTGTAACGCTGCCTTACACCTTTCACATTATAGAAAGCTTTCTATGTTTAGTTTCACATTTCTTGAGGGAATTTGTTGGGGCTTTCTTGTATGAATAAATTCATTTTTATGAGCTAATATTTGTGATTAATTAGGTTTTATGTCTATTTTTAATACAATATAAAATAGGAAAAAGGGTCTAATATGTTCCTAAACTATTTGAAAAGGTTTAGATATTGCCCGTTTAAAATTTGGTCCATTTATACCCTTGCCGTCCAACTTTTGCTTTACATATGCCCTTATGGCTGTTTATTGACCAACTTGAAATATTCAACTTATTTTACTTTTCCTTGAATGCCAAATGGATTTTCCTCATAATTTATATATATTATCACTTGACATTTATATTAAAAGACAAAGGGGTCTCTTATGCCCTAACTATTCGACCCAATTTTAAAACACATATCCGTCTTTTAAATGATTCAATTATGCCCCTAATCCGGCTCATATATGTGTGAATTATTCTGATATTTATATCATCATCGCCTGCTGCAACTTGTAGTTGTGCCTGTAACGTTGTTGCGGTGAATTCCTCCGCTCTAGCCCTTGCCTGCCAGGTTTACGCCTCCAGCTTTGCGTTGCGCCGAAACGCTTTTCAAACCTCGACTTCCTTTTCCTTCAGTCGTCGTGCCATTGATTCCTCGGTGGTTCCAATTAGAGCACGATAGTGTTCGCCTTTTAAATGGTTCAATTATGCCCTAATCCGACCCATATATGGTATTTAAAAAAAGGGGTCGGGTTATATAGATTATTTAAAAGACGGGTTGTATATGTGTTTTAAAATTAGTTTGGATAGTTAGGGGCATAAAAAAACACTTTCTTTTAATATAAATGCCAAGTGATAATATATAAAAAGGATGTGGAAATCCATTTAGCATTTAAAGAAAAGTAAAATTAGTTGGATATTTCGAGTTGACCAACTAACACCCATAAAGGCATATGTAGACCAAAAGTTGAAAGGCGAGGGTATAAATGGACCAAACTTTAAACGGGGATATATTTAGTTATCTAGACCTTTTTGAATAGTTTAGGGGCATATTTGACCCTTTTCCCTTGAATATAAATGTCAAGTGATAATACATAAAAATGACGTGGAAAATCCATTTGGCAATTTAAATAAAAGTAAAATGAGTTGGATATTTCGAGTTGGCCAACTAACACCCAAAAGGGCATAAGTAGACCAAAAGTTGGACGGCGAGGATATAAATGGACCAAACTTTAAACGGAGGGTATATCTAAATCTTTTCGAATAGTTTAGGGACATATTTGACCCTTTTCCCTATAAAATAAGGTCCTGAATTTGCTATGTTAAATTTTACTGTTATATTATTTACGCTCTAGTTATTCAATTTTGGATGTATGGAAGAATGTTAATTTCCATATTCGTTGAGAGGATGAGTTCTTACATGTTCTTGGTTGATAATCTATTAGCTTTTATGATCAAATTAGTTTTAAGTCCATTTCTAAAAATTGAAGTGCATATAAACGTAACCAAAACCCATTTTAATGGCTAATAGTCTTTTTGGTTCAGTCGTCGTCTATTATTATTGTTTCACATTATTAACAAAAAAGCAATTTAGATTCAATTTAATATTTTTATTGTCTCAATTTTAGTGACATCCTTTTTTATATTAGTCCATTTCATTGTTCTCATTTTCTTATTAGACTAGGGAGAGATAGCCCGTGCAACAATAATATTCATTGGGTCTCTGTGTCTGTTTCTCTGTTCAGATGATATCCTTTTTGTCACCACATCCTTTAATTTGACTTGTGCAACAAATACTACATGCCTTAAAAGTTGTTAATGAATCAACAACAGTTCAACTATGGCTTACATTATCTCTACAAGTATCTATCCGAATAAAAGTCTACATGCTGTAATGCTAATGTGCAGTAAATTAGTTTGGTAACAACAGTTATACTGACCAAGAGACTAATTCAAAAATCTTAGAATTTGAGAAGCTAAGGCCAGAAAATGAAAGATAAAATTCAACGAAACTCAAGAAAAATGTTGAAAAGAAGTACTAATAGTAGAGATTTTGAAGAGAACCGAGGTAAAGGAAATAAAATATAAGCATAAGATAGTGGTAGCATAATAGCAATACCAAAAACTGGCTTATATATATGTTAAACAGAACAACAAGAGTTGCCTTTTCTTCAGAACACATCCTATACATTTTACTTTTGTCAGTCCTCATGAACAGTACTTGATATATCAAGTGGACATGAAATAGAAAACTCAAGAACACGTTATCGGACAGCAAGGGATTTGGGATCATAAACAAGCACCCACAGTATGCCCATTACCGCAAGTTGCATGCTTCTCCCGGGAATTTGCATCAGGGAATTCTATATTTCTATTGATAATGAACGAGGAACTTCCAATTTGTTTGCAGAATGAAAGCAGCATTTAATAGCAAACTCCAACAGGGAACCAACGCCTTCTTTACAAACTAAATAATTGCCTCTTTTTGTAAAGATTATGTTACCCTTGTGGTTCCTCCAAGGAATAGTGACGAACATTTCATCTTACATGAATGGCTCACTTCACCAGCATATATAGTAAACTATTGCTCACTTGCACAAATTATTATAAGTATCACTTGATTTTAGAACCTTGACATTTGACTTAAAAGAATTAAAAGGAATACAATCATTAAAATTTGATTCTTACTAAAAAGAATACAATCATTAAAATTTGATTCTTACACCTGCAAATTATTTATTACAAAATAGCAAGGACTAAAGGTTCCATCTGTAGCAGGAGACTTAACTGTACCATGTTTGATTATTGCATTCTAACGCTATACCAAGAGGTTTCTTTACCGTTGAAGAGAATGAAATCAATGGTCATAATACACCATCAGTGGTGCCATCAGGACTCTTAGCAAGCAATTCTATTTTTCTTTTTCTCCTCATACTTTTCTGCTGGAGAATCAAACAAAACTTCAGCACCTACGACACCAGCCAAATCAATAGAATGGTGATCCTTCATACTCATTACTTGACAATCTCATCATTTGCATTACGGCCAATGTGTCAAATAAATAAAGACAATTTTCATCTCTACAACGACAGAAGCTGCAACATCCCTCGAATAGAACAAGAAACACGACATATTTCCAACGAAATCCTACACCCCAAAATTCAGAAAGCAATCAGTGCCGAACGAAAATGTTTGTTGTGCAAGTTTTCTACTTTGAGCAATACATCGTGTAGCCATTGTTCAATTAAGAAAGCTCATAGTATATACACTATTTGCATCCCCACAAATCTCTGTGTGCAAAGCAATATTTTCATAGTAATAAGAAAAATCTCCACCAGTCTAAATCATGCAGAAGGATGAATGGATTGGCAAATTGTAACAAAGACGGGGAAAACATAAAAATGTAGATTTAATATTTGATTCAGTACGTATTGTGTAACCATTTTATTTAAAATGCATACTGCGTTAAGGATAACAAGAAGTAGTCTTTCGTATTTGTTCAATATAAGCATTTGCTTAGGTAATAGGTAGTTCCTTCAAGGAATGTATTAGGAACCATATAATCATCGCAAATATAACAAATCTAATGATTTAGGTTCAAGACATTGCAAAAGATAATCAATCTCACACTACTGAAAATAAGTCAATCGATCCACGAAAAAAAATATATAGAGATTGCATTTATAGAGAGAGATATGAGGACGAACAAGATGGATAGGTGCTTGAGCGACCACTCAAGAAATGCAAAGATGAGGGATATGGTTAGTGATGACGCTATAGCACACATAGAGTTTCTGCTCACATTTGAATCTCAGGATTGCCACACGAAAGAGGCTGGCCCCTTCAGAAGGTGACATAATTGTACTGACAGCTCGACAACGCCTTTTTTCCTAGTTGCCGAAGTAAGGAGGCCTTCCTTTTGGGGTGTCATCAACTTAGATAACTCCGGCCACCTAGTAGTTTAAGAAGAAAAATATAAAAGGTAGCTGGCAAAAGCTACTTTTGGTATTGAAAATCATCACATTTACTATTAGGTTCGAATGATCAAATGAATTTGAATCATTACAACAGTGACAACTATACATATATATATATATAATGTGGTTATTCTTTTAAATACAAAAACATTTCAACACACCGATAAGGCATAAACAAATTACTCCAGCGCAAAGATGTTCTCAAAACCCATAGAAAAGCAGATACCAGCCATGCACGCACAGAAGGACACGGAGAGAAACAGATTGCATACCTTCATGTAATTACGCACGTGAGTCAAGCTTTCAGTCACACTCCACTTCTTGAAGTGTCCAAGAGCCACCTTGAGATGGTACAGTTTTGGAGCCAAGCTCATATCAACTGAACAAACATTCTGCCCATTGACATATGGTCCCTGATGAAATTCACAGCCAATTAAAGGATCATCGTAAAAATTAGAGATGAATACATTTAAGTTAAACATATCAGACAGTTCAATGTAAAATAGCATACATGAGCCTTGAGATGCTCTTCCAAAGCCTTCAATTCATCAAAAAGTGCCTGCTCAGTACAATCACTAGAATCCTTGCTCTCCATAAACGATACGAAGTTAGGAAATATTTTTGAGCCCCTGCAATCCCAAAACTAGTTACAAATGATATTCCACCCGTTAATATCAATGAAATAAAAAATCAAACTCCAACAAATGCTAGCTTATTACCATGATGAATCATACAAACACAATATAGAGACAATCATGTAAAAGGAAACACAGGATAGATAAACTAAATAATTACTATGTTCTATATTGAATGTCCAATTTGACTTGGCATGTTAAGAGATGAGAATCTAAAGATGAAGCATATGAAGCACAATGGTAGCCTTTTTTGCTTCTCCAAACAAGTAAGAAAAATGTGGTATTCAGTAAAGTAATGGATAATTAAAATACAAGAGGTGTTGTTTGGTTTAAAAGTTCAAAACAGAGCTTCTGCAGAACTACCTTTAGATTGTTATAAAAATTGTTTTCAACCAAATGCAAAGAAAGACAGATTTTTTTTGAAATTTAAAATCAAATCTCAACTAAGACATTTGAGATAAATGATGAAATCAAAATATGTAAATTCAATTTGAAACACAGGAAGTAAAGTGTTTTTGCTTGATCTAAAGAAAATCAAGCCACAAAAGCAAAGAGAACTATCACAAAACTTCATTTAAATGTAGCTCGCAGAAATCCAAGACGAATTCACTAATTACTTCCCTCCAAGGAATAAAGAACAAAAGGTTGGTGAAATTAACAAAGAAACCTTTCCACATAATTTTAAAGGAAAAACGTCATGTTAAAGTAATTGGATATAGCAACTCCATAAAACACTTTCACTTTTGAATTTTATAAAGAATTCAAGACAAAAAAACCATTAAAAAAAAACAGAACAGCAAAAATACAAGAATAATGAAAAAATTGAAGGCACAATGATTGCAATTGTTGAAAAGTACAAGAAAAGATGAACATCAATAACAAACTCAAATGAAAAAAAAGGAAATCTTAACACACCCATATTAAATTTGATTAACCAAAGATAAAATTGGGGAAAATTTTTTAGTGCAATTTTAGTTTGAGTAAAACAAAGAGATGCAAAAAATCAAAAGAAAGAATATAGAGAAAGATTACCTAGAATGAATGCTCGAGAAAGGAGATACATTTTGTGAGCAATGAAGTAAGATCTTGAAATAATCAAGACAGCTAAACGTGAGGTGTACATTGAAGACACAAAAGCAAGACACCTAGCTATATTTAAATACTGAAAAGACAAAAATAATCTTCAGTGTGATGATACAGGCATGTTGAAATAGCCTTTTTCTAATAATATAGTAGTATATAAGTAAAGTAATAATTCTACTTAGTAAATTATATATAATCTAATAATGGGTTATAATCCAATCTGTCATACTTTTACTTAATCTTTTTTTTTATGAGTTATTTTCTTATATATAATTAATAACCGTTAGCTATTTTTCTTCTTTATTATAATTTATCAAAAATATATATAAAATTATTTTCTACTATGAATCAATTCTTAAAACTTTGTTTCGATCATTGTTTCATAATGTATTGTATTGCATTGTACTCTATTGTATCGTTTTGTATGGTAGATACAAGTTTGATTAATTTACTAAAAGATCTTTAATTGTTCTAGGGCAGGAGGTTTACTAGATTTAAATAATTAAGGAAAAGGTAAAATAGTATTTTAAAATAGGACAACTTTCACATATATCAAATACAAAATTCAAATTTGTATACTATAGCAAAATTTGCATAATTGCGCTTCGTAGCAAACATATATATGTATAATTCGCTACACATATACAATTGAAAATTATGCCTATTTCGATATACATATATACAAAGAAGCAATTGTAGAATTTGTTGATCCTCTTCATATTTGTATAATTTCGTTGGCAGGCCATTTGTATAAATTCTTGTTAGCCTCTCATTTGTATAAATCGTTGTTAGTCTCTCAATTTAATTGTATGTGTTTGCATATCTATATAAAATTTGAATTTATATACAATTGAATCGAATTGTATAAAACGAGAAAGAGAAAAATTATATACAATTTGAGTTTGTATAAAACGAGAAAGATAGAAAGACAAAGAGACTTGGGCAGAGAAATATTTGCATTGTATAATTATAAGTGTATAGGACGGAGATATATGTATTTGCATGTGTATATACAATTTTCTCTCGCTTTTATACAAACGGAAACACAATTTATACAATTCTATCGAATAAAGTGAGATAGACGAGCGAGAGAGGGAGGATGGCGAGTGAGAATATGAGGGAGAGAGGTGACCGACAAACAGTTTGTTATGACACAAATAAATCAAACGATAGTTATTGTATTTATATTACATTATTAGTTTGTCATTCTACACAATTATTCCATTAAAAAATTAAGTAAATATATAATTGAAAAAAAAAATTTAAGTAACAGTGAGAACACACCAAATCAGTTGTTCCATAAAATAGAGACTTTCATTGGAACGTAACAATAAAATTTAACAATACAATATAATATATTTTAAATAATAATCAAAACAAACATCATATGTATAATAACGATACAATACAATATAATGTGTGATAATGATTTACACAGTGTAAGTTACATATTTCCCTTGTGCTAACTAAAACAAATCAAAAAACCCATTGTGTTACAATTATTAATTTGTCTAAATTAGTTGACAAAGACTGTTGTGTAGTTATTCTTGAGGATTCGATTTGTTGCCCCGGCAGATGGACTGTCCCCACCAAATGTTTTATAGTACAAAAGTGACTAAAGTAAGTCCAAGGAAGTTTCTTTACTAAAATTACTCGCACAACAACAGCATAAGGAAGCCAACAACTCACATTTTGTCAACTCAATTCACACTGATAAAAGATTAAAATAATTACTTTTTAGTTTTTACTCATGTTTGGGTGGTGTCACTTAAATCGAAAAGAGGTAGAAAATTATTTATAAGATAAATTCATGAGTAATAAAATCTTAGTATAATATAAATATGTCATTGAAACTTTATGTATAATTCAAATACTTATGCATTTTTCCTAATTTTAGTAATACCGTCCCTAAGAGTTCATCGTAAAGAAAAATCAACTACTCGTAGTTAGTGTACTAAAATAATTTGGAACAATTTAATAAACATAACAAAAAAATTAATAGTGGTATATATATAAGCTAACGAAGGTAAGAGAAAAACATGTTATTTCTTGGTAGCGGAAACAGACAAGTGAAGTGGTACAACAATTATGATATATATACTCTTGCACAGCAAACAAAAATAAACTAAAAGTAGCTAAAACTACCAATTATGATTATAAAGTTGTGTTGTGTAGGTGGAAATGGACAAAAAAACATATTGAATTTTTTAAGAAAATGATAAGAATCAATATTTATTAAGGCTAGCCACTTCATCTTCACGTGGACTAATGAGGCCAATTTTCTTCCCCAAATCACCCATCAACATGACAACTGATTTCAACAGTTTGTTAAAAATCGCAGCTTTAACTTCACCTCGTCTTGGCGGGACACTTATTTTCCGTCCGTTCGTCGCCGGAATTCCCATTTCTGACGATTTTTTATGAATTCTGACAGAGCAAAAAAGCAGAGGTTGGAATTTTGAACAAAGGCTTTTGTGGGGATTGAAGAAAGATAGAGAAGAGGAGAGGATTTTATAGAAAAGTTTTTTGAGTTGCAATTACTTTGCCCACCAAATCTGTCTTTTTGTTATTTATGTTCGCCACCTTCATCATTCAACTTTTCGCATCATTTTCTTACATTTTTAATGATGTGCCGTTTGGAGTATCTTATTCCTTTGGGCATATGGAGTATCTTATTTCTTTAATTTGCAAATAAGTATTTACATTTTTTAATTTAAACGTTACAAAAATAATGCATTCTCAATTTGTTTTTGATTTATGTAATATATCCTTAATTAAATATGATGGAGGGACCAAAAAAAAGTATTAATTTTATTTATTTTTTTTACTCTTATAATTAATTCTTTTTGAAAACATTTGCGTATGTGGGTAAAATTTCAAAAAGATTTTTAAGGGGTGAATTAATAAAATTATCTTTCTATTTATGATTTTTAATGGGAAAAAGAACAAATATATTCTTGAACTATCGTAAATGGTATGCAGATATCCTCCGTCATATATTAGAGATATTGGTGTTTCTGCCGTCCAAAAACTAGAGCATATATACGCTTTATACTAACAGACATACACGTGGTCATAATCTTATCCACCGATCCGACATCGAATCGATGGAGAAGATTACGCACATGTATGTCAATATTTAGTCTTCTGTTAGATTAAAGGACATAATATATGCTTTATTTTTTAATGATAAAGACACATACTAAAAATATGACAAAAAATATCTCTATACAATTTATGATAGTTCAGAGTTATATTTATCCTTTTTTTCTTTTTTTTTTAAAAAAAACTAAAAAAGTCAATCCTTGTGCATTATAAAAATAAATATACACAAAAGGAAAGGGAATAAAAGAGGGTCCTATGTAGGACCCTTTTTATCTTAAATCTCCCTTATAATTAAAATAAGGGAAAATTGTATATAATATCAAATTACTAATTTAAATTAAATGTTATAAATGTATTTTGATTTAATTGTACTCTCTAGCAAATTTTAGCTATTTTTGTCACTCTCCTTGGTGGAATCTCGCTCTCCACTCTCGTTTGGTGGCAGTTTCGCTCGTCTTTCGCCTTTTTATACAAACATAAATGTATAAAATGCATTTGTGTTTGTATAAAACGAGAGAAAATTGTATAAATACATATATTTTCATTTTCCTCTCTCCTCTCTCCCAGATTTTGCTCGCCACTCTCCCTAATCTCGCTTGTCACCCTCGCGTCTCTCGCTTATACGAACAGAAACAAAATGAATAAAGTGTGTTTCTGTTTGTATAAAGCAAGAGAAAATTGTATATACACATGAAAATACATATATTGTCGTCCTATACACTTATAATTATATAATAAAAATATTCCTCTGCCCGCCCAGTTTCTTTTGTCTTTCTCTCTTTCTCATTTTATACAAATTCAAATTATATATCAATTCTCTCTTTCTCGTTTTATACAATTTGATTCAATTGTATATTCTCTTTCCAAGTATCTTTCGCCTTTCTCTCTTTCTCATTTTATACAAATTCAAAATTGTATATAATCGTCCTATACATTTATAATTATACAATACAAATATTTCCCCCGCCCAAGTCTCTTTTGCCTTTCTCTTTTCTCGCTTTATACAATTCGTTTTAGACAATTCACTTCAACTGTATATGTATAACAAATTATACATATATATATGTATATTTGCTATAGGACGCAATTATGCAAACTTTGTTATAACATACAAATATAAATTTTGTGTTTGCTATATATAAAAGTTTCCCTAAAAATAATAATTATTCCGTTCATTCCACATCAAATGGATACTTTTTATCTTACACATTGATTAAATCATTAATAGATCAATTATTTTATTATTTTATGGTTTGTTTATATTAACTAGCTTTTAAAAAAAGGAAATTTTTGGCCATTAAAATTTATGTAAATTTTCAAAATACATATTAATTGCATGAGTAAAATAAAAAAATTCTAGCTAAATTTAATAAGTGATTGAATAATATATTTTAAATAAAATATCATTTAATATAAGATGAAAGAAATATTATTTAATAAATAATAAAGATTGCACAATACGAAGTGAATAAGGGGAGTAAATATGATAAAGTCAATGCAGAAAATAATTGTGGCATATTGTCCTTTTCGAACTTCCGAAGCTCACTCACCGAACCTGGGAGGCTAGGACAATGCCCACAAGTCAACGTTGAATAAGTTTTTATTATAGTCAAGTCTCATACAAGACAAAATACTATGTTTAAGCTCTTACGCGTCGATTATTGCCACTTATATACTTTTGGATGGTATATATGTCTAACTACAGAGGCAAATCGAGAATTTATTATGGGTGTACTTTTAAAATAAAAGTAATAAATTATAATACGTGAAAATTTATTTATAATATTCAAGATTAATAACTCAATAATTAAGTAAGTGTATCATTTAATATTCTTATAGGATTTTTGCATGCACGCTAGATAACAATATAGATTATATCACATTAATTTTAAAATGTATATATACATAAAATATATATCTTCTTTATAAGGTTAATATTAATGAAAATGACAATCTTGACGCTAATGGCGAGATGGACAGTGACTTTGATAGACAGCAAAATCACAAATTCACGTAGCCTACATTGTAAGCCAGCTGTACTTGGATTCCACGCGCTAAACGTTATAGTGGGGTGAATAACCCTACATGTAAGTGCATGGAAGTTTTGGGTGACTCAAAATAATTTACTATTCTCTTTTCTGTCTTCCTATTCTTTCTATTTCTTAACATCAAATTTTTATAGAAGTTGCTATGGCCCATCTACAACATTACTCCTTCGGTTCAGATTATTTGTCATGTTACACTTTTTAAAAGTCAATTTGATTAATTTTTAAAGTTAAATTAGATCACATTAATTTGATATTTTAAACCAAAAAAAAATTAGATATTCTAAAATTATATGAAAAGTACTATAAATTGCATTTTTTTGCATATTAATATGATGAAAAAATACATCTTAAAATGCTAGTCAAAGCTTATATAATTTAACTCTAAAATTAGACCATGACAAATAATACCGGACGAAGAAAGTAATATTATTGGTCCTTCAAATTTTCCAAACTCTTGTAGGAAAGGAAGAAATTACAAAAAGGAAAAGTAAAGGGGGGAAATTGACGTCTTGTTGCAAGTTGCAAGTCATCAATTAGTACACGTCTTTTTTTTTAAAAAAAGAATTTATAAGATGTTGAAACTCGAAACATTACCTTAGACCAAGTTAATTAAGGACCATTTGTGTGAACCCTTAAAAGATGTACTTGTATATATAGAGAAGATAGATAAATATGCATCAAACTAAGATTAATGTATATATCCATCAGTTAATCGATAGTATCGTTATTCATTTTTACACTGATAAGAAATATCACGAGGCTTAATTAAGTTGATTTCAATTAATCTTAGACTCGAAAAGAGGTTAATTTTTGATAAAAAATGTCACGAGGCTTAATTAAGTTGATTTCAATTAACCTAAGACTAGAAAAGAGGTTAATTTTTAAATTAATCAACTGTTAATGCATCATACGTATATATCAAGCACAAAATTATATAAGCTAATACAATTGATCACAACCCGATAATTTTCATAACGGAGATATTCCACGTAACTCATGTTTCCCAAACAATTCTTTTCTATTTAAGGGATTAAGTTGAAGGAAAAAGAAAAATTAATACTTTTTTTTTATAAATATATATTTTTATTTGTCTGATTTAAAAAAATCAAGAGATGATTTATTTTTTTGTTTCTGATTTACCTTTATTATTAGTGAATAGTGATAATCATTTCTAAAAATATTAAATTAACATATTTAAAAAATATGTCAAAGTTGAATACGGTAAACGTAAAGATGGACGAGTATCAACATTCTTTTTTGTGTAACTTAGTATAATATTATAGTGGGAGTTGACTAAATTAAGTGTGGATATTATAGGTCATTTTTGCACCGAGTAATTAATTGATTCATATCAAAGTCTCGATCAGTTAATTTCCCTAAAGTACTAATACTAATTTTAATCCAGAATCCTGGAAATTCAAATAGATTTTAACTATATATGAGCTATTTATATTTATCCTTTTAAATAGTAACGGTGACCACTAATGAATCTGTCCAACATCCAGTTACATTCATGACCACTTTGCAATAAAATATTAGACACAAACAATGGAATACATAGGACAAAATGATCAACAGAAAAAATAAATTTATATTTGTTGAGAAGTTTGTTAATTGAATATAAATGCATATGGTTTAATTCTCAAAGTTTTTGTTTTGTCAACCACTATAAAACAGGGTAGATCCATAGTATTCATATAAATGGGAAAGCTTGCGATTATTTATTAAGTTGTATACGTTTTCTCTTTCATGTGATAAAAAGTTCAATAAAGAAGTTAACTATTAATACTCTCTCCATTTCAATTAATTAAAAGATAAATGACAGAAATTCACCTTTAAGTTCTCTTAGTACCATTGTCGTCTTCTATTAGTTTTACAAATTCTCAAAATCTCTCATTTTCACGCATCAGATTAATGTATCAGTGCATCAAATTAATATATCTCGCATCACATTAATGTATCTCGTGCATCAGATGAATGTATCTCGCGCATCAAATTATTGTATCATGCATAAAATGTAAGGTATCTTACTTAACGATTAATGTATCTCGCGCATCAGATTACTTTATCAACGCTTATGTTATTGTATTAGTTTAAGGACTTTTTATAATTATAAACTTATAAGAGACAAATGATAATTTTACTTAAAAGTATGTGATTTTTGTCCTTTGCCCATTAATTAAATTGTTGAGATATTTCATACTATTTAAAAAAAGAAGAAGATTAAAACATAAATTAGGTGTATTATAAAG